TAGTTACGCCGGTTTAAGTTTCATTTGAAAGCCCTTGATCACAAGAAAAACTGGAATTTTTAACGTTGTATCAAAATTCTACCATTATTTTCGTTACTACTCATTGAACTTTGTTGGAAGGCGTGAAGTTCAGTTTGTTAAAGTCCTATGCATTATTTGTTTGCCAAAAAATTACAAAAAATATTTTATTACTTGAATTTTATGGACTCTTTCGTATTCATATACAGGTATTTTTAAATATTTTTTCCAAATTTTTTTTTTTTTAGGAATAGCTGGCAACACTTTAACTCACAGATATTCTTATAATAGTTAGTATAAAAATATTCTGGGCAGGTTTTTGAAAGTTATATTACTTAGATCAAGTATGGATGGCTGAGCTTCACGGGAGATGGACCAGCGTTAAGCTCCTACAAATTTTCGACGACCATAAATTGGACGTTGGGCTCTTAAATTTGAGGTCACTGACGAAATTCGGTAGTAAATTTTCATAATTTCAACTCATTGTTGGATCATATATCATGATAAAATGAGAAACCGTACTGAGTAGAAATGTCAAAAGAGCGGTTTACTTTTTTAGCGTTTCTTTTGAAAACCCCGTTATTAGGTTTGGCGCGGTTGCAAGATCCTTCTAGTTCAAGGTGGTGAGCTCTTCACCGTCAGCTAGATTAGCCTCTCCCTAGTTGTAGGAGGAACAGAGCAATGAAATGAGGCAGAAAAATCGCATCACCTTCACTGAAGTGGATATTTTAGTGTGAAGAAAGATAAAAGTCACAAATGGAGCTAAATCAAGGATATTCGATACCTGTTCAATGACATTTGTTGAGTGTTTGGCTAAAATTTAACACAAATATGTTAAAAAATTTTGTAAACTTCGACAAACACTACTGAGGTCGACTGCCATAAACAACTGCTGTAAACACACTGGTTAACAGATCGCGCTAATTTTGGCATTAGAAAACAGAGYAGAGCAAATATATTTACACGTCAATGCATTTTTCTTTTCAATTGAGTTCTAAGAGGCCTTCAAAATTTGAATTTAAACAGAATGGCCTCAATTAGGGGAATAAAGTAATTCGCGACTTTTAAATAACTATTTACTAATTATTATGCCAGTGCAACTCATGACCCAAATAAATACAAAAATTCATAATTACATGCCAAATTAGTCAATTAGCATAATAATGGTGATTGATTTATATATTTACATAATCGTAAGCAAAACATATTAGAATACGCTAATATTAAACGGCAATGGTTTAGATAAATATATTAAAGAATGTAATGACACAACGAGAGCATTAAGTGTTAATTAAACATTCATTAAGCAAAATATTTGTGTCATGTAATATAACAATTAAAAATCTTTTTAAATAACTCAATTAGCACCTCATATTTACTGAATACACACACGACTTCCTAGATAATTGGGTAAACAATTGGTTAGAGAATTGGGTAATGCAAAGGGATCTCATACTCGCTAATAGCAGCACATCAATTATTATGTAATTATACCAAAGATATATGTGTTTGTCTAATTKTATTTAAATATGAGTGCTAAAGGCAGCACTTTTGAAATTAAATAAAAAAGGAAATAAATGTGTATGCAACGAATCATACATATGGATTGGTTCTGGTTATATAACTGATAGTATTAACCGGTTTAATTTTAATTGTCGCTGTAGTTTTTTGTTGGTGTTTGTTTTAAAGATCAGCTAAAAGTCGACTTGCTTTAGTAATATTTTTCGAGTTAAGGTATTTGTGAAGACACAAATTTGACTTTCTGTTTCAGTTTAAAACTTCAGCTGCTCTCTTTATATACGTCTACAAACTTCAGAGTATAAAGGATATAATTAATGTTCCTATATTACCTATAGAGCTTAACCCTTTGTTTACAAAGTTTTTAAGAAAAATGAAAAAAATGCTGTTTTAAGAAAAGCCATAATTTATATAGAGAGTACCTCGAGACCCGATTGAGTATTGATAACTCAAGGTTTTCGAGATACAGACCTAAATATTTCTGCCAAGGAACTGAAATTATCATGTCCGTATAAATTGTAGTAAAAGTTAGAACCATAGAAAATAGTCTGTGATTTTTTTATTTCCGAATACTTTCGTGTAAAGTTGCCACTTATTCAAAAAAGTTCAATTAAAATTGTAGAATTGTGCAAAAAATGCCAAAAAAAAAAATGGTTAAATAACAAGCAATCTTAAAATGTTTTTTTTAAATATATTTTTGAATGGGGTTGCCACATATTCAAAAATTTTAAATTTAAAATTTGACAAAATATCTGTCAACATATAAGGGTCTGGAGAAACTCTTAAAAAATTACTCCAGAGTCTTCTATTTATATGTATGTATATATTTTGGAGCAGTGTTGACGCTTATTAAAAAATTTAATATTATACATATATGACAAAATGCCTGTCAACATATTAAGTATTAAGGAGACTCTCAGATATGCACTCGGAAGTCTTTTATTTAAATAAATTTAGGAGTAGAGTTGCCACTTATTAGTTTTACTAAAATGTGTAAAATATGACAAAATGAAATGGTGCAATTACAAAGCATTTTCTAAATAATATTGTTTCACACTTTTTGAAATGGGGTTGCCACCTATTTAAGAAAAAGAAACTTTAAAATCTTAAAACTCTGTTAATATATTAGCTCTTGATAAGACTTTCAGAAAACTACCTAGTACTTTGTATACTTTAGAGTAGAGTTGCCACTTATTAAAAAGACAAAATTTTAAATATGAAAAAGTACTGTCAACATATTAGTTAAACAAGAAAAGTACCCGGATGACTTCTAATTACATATWTTTTGGAGTAGAGTGGTGTTGCCACCTTTCGAATGGCAAACTATATAATAAAATCATATTTAAATATATCCCATTTTTAGAAACATTTTTTTTTTTACCAAAAAAGTCATCCGCTGCTGTTCTGAGTCTGGAATTCTTCGTAAAACACTTATAAAAATTATTCTACTTGCGAATGTTGTCTGGACAAGGTCCTACGGCGGCGAAAATGATCAAAAATTTATAAAAATGTTTTTTCTTTGAATATTACTCTGGAAGTTTTGCTAATTGTTGGTCTACTATACTCTACATAATGTTGAAAATTAGCCCTACAGAGAGTTATTGGTTGGGGAATATATTTCTTCTTTCTGCTTTCAGTTATATTTTTTAATTTATAATAAATACATTTTTTGGTCTTAAGTAATTGATGAAATATTTGGATATCCGCCAGCTTGAACGAGAAATGTTTATAAATATTTTAGAGAAATTTAGTGCTCATCGAACAGTGATAGCTGAGGTGACTTTTCACCAACAATATCACATCAGAAAGTACTGAAAATAATCCAAAATAAGGTAATCAACTCTTCTGTTAGAAAACACTACATGAATTGATTATATAAACAAACTCATGTAAAT